TTTTTTTTTTTTTTTTTTTTTTTTTTTTTTTTTTATCAAAGATCAATACAAAAGAGGGAAAGGTATCTAAATAGTGATCGGATAAACAAAAATTATCTATCTTGAAATGTTTTTTTTTTTTCTTTTTCGTTTTCTTTTTGGGAAGAGAATTTTCTCTTGTTTTTGGTTTTATAATGTATATTCTTTCCCCCTTTTTTTCTCCCTCCTTATGCCTCTATTCATTTGCATAAATAATATTATCTTTTCCTTCTTTTTTTTCTCTTTCACTTTCTCTCTCTCTCTCTCTCTTTCATGTATTCTCCTCTGGACTCTGCAAGCGAAGAACGTGGGGGGGATGGAGACTCCCGTCACTCCTGCCGCCACCTCCTCTCCTTCGCACCGCTCCCGCTCCACGCCCGGCACGCACTGCCGAGCACTGACCGTCAATCTCATGGAATTGCTGGAGAGCAGCAGTTGCAGCGGGAGGGAAGATGAGAGTGGATGGGCGGATGTGGGCAGTAGTAGTGGCACAGCGGCATACGCGGCATTTGACCCAGAACAACTATGGCAGGCCGCCGCTCCTGTCGATAATATTCTTCCTGTTAGCATGGCAACGGCAGCAGCTGCTGGTGGTGGTGTTATGATGGATGCCAATCATCATCATAATGATAGTGAAAAGGATGTAGAAGGGAGTACTGGGGCTTCTTCGAATTGTGTGTTGATTGTGTTTGGTGTGGGTCCACTCAATCCAGAAGAACTGCTTTCACAACCTCAAACTAGTAGTACTTTCTCAGGTGGATCTGTAATGCAATTTCTTATCTCAAGAACTGATTTTATGGATCATCTGTTATTCTCTTCTCTATCATTACCCTCTGGAACATGTGACTGTAAAGAAGATCCCATGAAGAATGAAGAAAGGGATAATGGGATAGAAAAAACAAAACTTCTTGTGAAAGAAGATGGTCACAAGGAAATTTTATTGTTTACGGACGTTAATATTGAAAGACCAGATGATATTCGAGCAATTTCTGTAGTGTACGTACAATTAACAAAGGAAGAGTGTAGAGTAACAGATAAAGAGGCGGCACAACATCGTGCATCACAAGTTATTAAAACCATTCAAACACTTTTTCTTGGTTCTTCACAAACAATATTTTGGGTAGATTTCACAGGTATTCTAGACCCTACTAGAACTGAGGTTCAAAAGGAACTTCGTGATGCGTGGTGGACTTTAGTCGTCACCTCCGCAAGTGGTTCTCTTAATAGTTCTACTCTTCGTTTAATAGCTCTCGTAAATCCTTCAGCTATACCACAGTTGCATAAAGAGTTTGAACATTTAGAAGAAGCAGTGAGACCACGAGATTGTTCTCATACTACTATTATTGAAAAAAATATATCATCTCCAAAACCAATGATAGGATCCCCATTAACATGGTATTGTACAGATGAGAATGCTGATGTTAGGACTCTCATAGATATTGGTCTATCAAATGCTAAAGGAAAGAACAATATCATTAAGGATGAGTTGATACAGTCAATGGATACAAACATATTGACGTGCCATGGTACGAAAAACAATCCTGAAACCTGTACGGATGGGGAAGCGTCAGTAACAGATAAGGATGATGATGATGACGATGATGATAGTTATGATGATGATGAGTGTGAGTTAATTTGGGAAAGACATCTGAGAGTGATGACTAAAGGTGGGAATGACAAGGTTGTGAAGGTTTGTCCTCCTCCTCCTCCTCCTCCTCCTTCATCTTCTTCTTCTTCTTCTTCAGCAGCAACAGCAACGGCAACTGCAACATCGGAGGAGGATACGAATGTTAAGGTTAGGGAGGAGAATGATGAGAATGAGTTTATATGGCAAAAGTATGTTGAAGATTTGAACATATCTGTTAAAGAATTACCCTCACATGAGGTATCTAATAGTGTTTCAGCTTTGTTTATTGAATGTTCCTCTGAAACTACTTTGTCAAGTTCACTTAGTACGGATACATCTATACGAGATTTGCTAGTCTTGTGGTCTGCGCTTGGCATTCAACACTCACCACGCTTGATTGTTGTTATAGCTGATGGCGATTATTACTTTGAAAATACATTGTTATCTTGGGTGAAAATTCCATGTGCTCAGAATGCACTCATATTTCCTATTTTTGTCGTGAGTGAACTTAACATTCATTCTAGTGATGACAATGTACGAAGAGAGTCATTGCCTTCCATACCAACTAACCATAAACATAAGGAATCATTAATGTGTTATGATAAGTTTGTTCGGGTACTCACATTTGCTGTTGAGTACTTTGGAATTGATGTTCATTCAAGTGCTTGCCTTGCTATGAATAATAATCCCTTTCAGCAGGTAGCAGATCAACTAGGCTTTCAAGCTGTAGGTGATTACCAGTATATTTCCTCTTGGGTTACACAAATGAATGGAGAGGAGGCAACAGAACTATCAATGATACAAAAAATGTTAGATGTAGAAGCGGCACGTGAGAGTGCTTTCCTAGAGTTGTGCCATACAAATTCCTTAGCTCAATTACTACGTGATTATCCACGAAGACCGGAATTATTCATGCAGCGAGTAAATAACATGCGAGTGGGAATTACACGTCCTGTTGTCTGTGATGCTGTAGCACTGGTCTCTACAGTTCCAACAGAAACACGTCTGGGTGGAGCATCTAATTCCATTCTTTTGTTTTTCACAGAGGAACAATTATCCAATGTGTACCGTTTTATGATTTCTTTCTTCACAAGAGAAGTCTTTTCCATTGCTGTGGATATTGTGAGATCTCACAATAGTGATTACTTCTCCGGTCATCACTTCGCGACGGTTGGGTACTTTCGATATGAACTGACCAGTTGGGTTCGGCGGCATGTGCTGGTGGCTCTCCACATGGACTTCCAGCCATTCCTCGCCCTCGCTGGTGATCAAAGCGGAGGAACCACAACACCGCCGCATTGGTCTCGTGTGATTCGACACATGTCCTGCACCTGCACACCGCGGCGACATGAGAAACTTCTCTACACAGAGACAGGCGAGAAGAAGTGTCGTCATGTCGCACAGTTATTATATTGGTTTCTGAGAAAATGTGTGAAACACACCACCTCCATCATGTCTTCATCCCATTCGCAGTTTGTGCGTCCCAACACTCGTCAACAACGCCGTCTTCGAGGTTCTCGACTAGCACCATGTACAACTTCCACTGTAAAGCAACACGCAGAGGAGAGGGAGAAGGAAGAAGAAGAAGAAGGTGATGATGATGAAACGGTGAAGAAGAAGACTATGAGGAGGAGTAAGAATACGAATAACAATAAAAAGATGAGAATGGATGAGGGAGATTTCTCTTCACCTCCGTTAGAAATAGTTGACGTGACAGCAGGGGGTAATAATACCGCTCAAGCAGGTAGAGAGGAAGTTCAACCCCTTACTAATGATGGTGATGTAAGTTTGCTAGAGTTCGCCGCTTTGTTGGGAATAACTTGAGAAGAAGTACTATTTGATAAGAAAAAAAAAACTACCTTGCAATGTTGAGATCTTTTGTGTTTTCCTTTTCTCCACCTTCCTACTACTACTACTACTACTACTACTACTACTACTACTACTACTCTCAGAGAGCTTATTTGGAATGTCATCCAGCAAATTTTGTACTTTCATATTGTCGGTGCCTCTTGGAGGCACAGTATATATATATATATATATATATATGAAAAAGGAGAGAAAGAAATAATATATACTCTTCGTTTGGTTAGGTGTATATAAATATAGTGACAATGCAGAGAGGCCGTGGGTGATCTAAACGTTTTGGTCCCTTTTTTTTATCTCTCCGTGGATTGTGTGGTTTTATACTGCTTCACCGCAGTGGTGAGATTGCCGAGAGGTCTTTTTACTTTTATTATTACTATTATCACTATTACTACTACCGTAAATATGTATATATTTTTTTGTTTTTACTAGTCTCTGTGTATGTGCGTGTATGGGCATCCCCATATATATTTTTTTTTTCTTTCTTTCTGTGTTGTCGTTTCTCTGCGTGATCTTATCTACGCAAAGGGTTTGGAGGAGGGTACAGTAAGAGGAGAGTGAGAGGAATCAAGGTGAACCAATCACTCTCTAGTCTGCTGCTGTGAGATTAAACACACACACATACACACACTGTTAGGAGAAATGCCAAATCCATCAGTGGGTAATTCAGTGGAGTCAACATCTCATGTACGTGAGGAACCGTGGTATTCATCACCGATTGGGGCGATAGAGTCATCTCTCGTTAATGCAGATGAAGAACTTATTCGAACCGCCGCTATTGCCACACTGGAGGCAGACCGTTCTCAACAAGAGGTTGAACGCTGGCGTCTTGAAGCCGATGTACAGATCCAGCGTCTAATTAAGATGCGGCATGAAAAGGAACTACTTTTAAAGGAAGTTCGACAACTTGAACAAAGTTTAAATCAGGCAGAAACTTTAGCTTCAGCTTCTACGCTTATTGAAGAAAAATCATCAAGTCTTGACGGGCCATATGTATCTTCTCTTCAGTATAATACCGTTACTGATAATTCTATAGTGGTACCTGGGACCTTTGCCTTAGCTTCAAAGGATAGTATCACCTCTAAGGAGATAGAATTGCGGTATCTTATTAGTCGTTCACTTGCGACATTAGACACTTTACTGTCGGATGTTGTTTCCCTGAAAAAACGACATGCCGATTTATGGACACAGGAGAAAGAAATTGGAGAAGATATAAAACGTCTCAAAACTACATATCAACGACAAGAAGAACAAAAAGAGGAGTTATTAAAGCAAAAATATTTTGTTAAAGCAGCATCAACAGATCCTGCATATCGAAAAGCTTTAGAGGAAAAACAAGAGATGGAAGAGTTTATAGCTCATGCATCCGATCGTCGTGCAGCTCTTAAACAGACTCAAATGGAACGTGTTTCTATGGTTGCACATCTTTTAGAGGGTTTAACACTACGAGAAAGACAGGCTTCTCACGCACATGAAACCGTGGCTCGTAAAAAAGGGTTTAGTGAACACCCTATGTATTCTATGCTTCTTTCTTTACAAGAAGAAAATAGAGAGTTGCACTCTAAATTTATTAAACTTGTCCAAAGTAACGAGGAGGAGGATACAGCCCTTGTAGAGTATTTTAGTGTATTGTTAGAGCGTCTGCTTATGACGCAGGGAAATAAAACCTCTCTTATGGATTTTGTTAATTTATCACCAAAGTGACTTGTGAATAAGTTTTTTTTTTTTTTTTGCCAACGTATCGTTTTTATACATTCTTTCTCACTCTGTGTATGTGTATCTGTGTGCCTCTTTTTGAGAAACACAAAAAAGCAACAACAAAATAAAGTTTAACAAGGCACAGTTTATTATTTTTTTTTTCCTCTGTTTTCCCTTATTTTTATTGTATTTTATTTTATTTTTTTTTCTTTTTTACTCTTTAGCGTGTTGTTCGGATGCTGAGAGTTTTGTGTCTTCATGGAAACCGCCAAACTGCAGAGATTTTTGAGCATCAGCTCAGTAAAATGTGCAGTACTCTCTCTGATATTGCGGAGTTTGATTTTGTAGATGCTCCTTGTGTAGTTGGATATGGAATCGAGGGTGATGCCGTGGCTACGTGTTCATGGTGTGAACAACAGCGGGATCAGCAGGATCAGGATAAGAAACAAGAGGTAAAAGAAGAAGAAGAAAAAGAAAATATAGGGATAGAAGATCGTTATGCCGTTGGGGATGCTGTAGTAAGACAGTTTATGATTTCTGAACGTGGTCCATATGATATTATTTTTGGTTTTTCACAGGGTTCACTAGTAGCAGCTCGCTATGTAATGTTACAGCAGTTACGAGAGGAGAATACATATGGATCATCATTGAAAGGAATTATTATGGCAGCATCACCAGATCCACGCCTTTTATTTCCAGAGTTAACTACATTATACCAAACTCATTCTTTTTCTAACACTAATACAAATGGTTTTTTTGGAACACTACCTTCACTACATATTGTGGGGAGGAAAGATACCATTGTAAATCCTACAGAGAGTTCTTCATTTGCTGATGCATGTCAACCAAATGCAGATATTGTTTATCATGAACATGCCCATAGTATTCCTCAACTACAAAGTATTATTACCTCTGTGAGGTCGTTTCTTGAACGTTGTCTAAGTATAGAACGGGAAAGAGTAAGTACAATTACAATGGGAGGTGAGGTAATCATTTCTGCTGAATGTGAAGAGGAATTAGAGATGATATCATCCATGTATGGTGAAGGGTGTGTGCAACGTAATCCTATTCCAGTGGTATTGCTCCCATTATTGCTTGACTGTTCAGCTGAGGATGAAGTGGAAAAGAATTTGTCTGCATTACGTTTGCGTATAACTCTACCCCCCAAATATCCAGAAGAGTTACCAAAGTTAGATGTAGTTGGGGGTCCATCTAACCGACACGTCCTCTTTGAACGTTGGAAGGCAGAACTACTTACAAAAACTCTTGCTTACCTGCGAGATGATTTGGGTATTGGAACTGCCATGTTACTTCCTGCCATGATGTTTGCCAATGAACAGGCAGGTAGTGCAATGGAGTTTTTACGGTCTGTTTTTTCTGAAAAGTTTCATCCATCTAAAGCGGCTAACAAGTTATCAACAGATAAACATAATCAAGAATACGATAATCAATCAAAAGAAGAAAAAGAAGGAAAGACAATGTGGTGGGATGAGGAAGAGGATGAAGAGAGACGAATGATACACATTACAGAGGCTGAGCGATTTGCCGAACACATACTTGCAAGTAAATCTTCTATGGAAACAATAGATGAATCATCATCATCATCACTCCCTAACGCTGAGGATCATCATAATGGTGAGAATGATAATAATAATAATAATAATGGTACCAATATGGATGCTCATTGGGATGTTGGGCACGATATATTATCCCGCGGTGGATTGTTAGAATTGACGATTGGTCTTATTGGAAAACCATCAGCAGGGAAGAGTACATTCTTTAATGCCGTAACAGACCCACAGAGCGAATTAGCCGCCGCCCGTGTAGCCGCCTTTCCCTTCACTACCATTACACCAAACATTGGTGTTGGTCTCTGCCCACTGCGTTGCCCGTGTGGGGTTCTCTCCACCCCGCCTGATGTCAACATGTGCGATGCGGCCTTTGGACATGTGATGATCGCAGGCCTTCCCTACAGACGACGGCAAGTGATGGTGACGGATGTTGCTGGACTCGTGCGGGGTGCGTACGCCGGCCGTGGTCGTGGCAATCAGTTCCTCAACGATCTCTGCAGTGCCAACGTACTCGTGCATGTTGTGGACGGCGCTGGCTGTACAGATGCGGACGGTGTTGCCTGCACACCAGGCGCTGGATCCACACAGGATGATATAACGTGGGTGCGGGCCGAAGTGCATAGTTGGATATACGATAATCTCCGAGCTCGCTGGACCACACTCCTACGGAGACCAGAGAAGTTGCGAAACATGTTTACTGGATACCGAAGTCCACCCTCATTTGTCGATGGCGTCCTGCGCAGGTTGGGGATCGCAGATGAGGCGGCATTAATACAACAGGTGCCAACGTGGGGCGCAGCGGAGTTACACCGCCTTGTTGCCCTCTACGTTCGTATGCGATTCCCTATTGTGGTGGCTCTTAATAAAGCAGATGTGCGTCCAGAGGCGGAGACAATCCTTCATGAACTAAAGAAACGTTACCCACATGAGATGTTTGTGCCAATGGCTGCAAAGATGGAGTGTCATCTTCTACGATTACGTCAAAAGGGAATATTGCACTACGTATCAGGGGATTCCTCATTTAAGGAGTTAAGTAGTGGCAATACGGTGGAACCGGCAGATGCAAAGGCATTGGAAGAGTTAAGACAATACTTTAATCCAGGGACTATTTCTTCTATTTCTTCTTCTTATAACTCTAACCCTACAACCATAACAACTGGTGTACAGGAGGTGCTTGCTACGGCCCTTTCCTGTTGTCCTTCTGTCTTTGTATATCCTGTGGCTTCCTTCAAATTACCACTTCCCTCACTAAAAGAGTGTTTTGTATTTAAACAAGGATCCACTGCTGGAGATGTCTTTGATTTTTTACAACACACAAACCTCTTGGACGGAAAGTTAGTGCGATTTGAGGCGATTAGCGTAGACGATTTACGCAAAGGGCATGAAGCAACACCTCTTAAAAAAGAAACCATACTGCCAGGAAGACACGTTGTGGTTCGTGTCCTGACAAACAAGAGACAGATGGTTTTCTGAGTCTATCTATCTATCTATCTATTGTTGTTATTATTGTTTGCGTGCTTGTGTATATGTAGGGTGTAAAGTGGAAAGTAAGAAAGAGAGAGAGAAAGAAAAGAAAGAAAGAGAGCTCTGAGTTATGTGTAAGGGTTTCTTCCCCTTTTTTTTATTTATTAATTTGATCTTTTTATTTTTTTTTTCGATTAATTTCCCTTAAAACTGGACAAGACAAAAGTATAAAACAAACAAAGAAAAAGACAAATCAAAGTCACAAACGGCGATAGTAACGCTAGAGAAAAAAAAAAAGAAAAGAAAGATAGAAAAAGAAAAAAAATAAAAAAAAAAAAAACTACAAGCCGTGGACAAGTATCATCTAAAACGATGGCTACCTTACCAATTCCAGTTGTCCGTAAGAGGCTGGATCATGTCACTTCACGAAAGGATCTCAAGTACGCAAAGCGCATCGTTGTTAAAGCTGGAACTTCAACTATTGTAACAGAGAGTGGATTCCCAAGTGTTCGTCGAATTGCTAATATTGCAGAAGAAATCTTCGCTCTTCGCAGTGAAGGGAAAGAGGTGGTTTTTGTCTCCAGTGGAGCATGTGGAATGGGGAGGAATGTACTGAGACGACAAGATATTTTGGTCTGTTCTGCCTTTGATCGTATGCATCGCGCCAGCAGACCTTTTTCCAGTATTGGTAACAATACATGTGCAGCAGCAGGACAAGCAAACCTTATGAATTTGTATCAAACTGTCTTTCAGCAATTGGATATTACATTAGCAGAATTACTGCTTACGCATCATGACTTTCTCACCGATGATCGAAGAGAAAATTTACATGATGCATTGGAAAATCTTTTAAGTATTGGTATTGTACCTGTTGTAAATGAAAATGATACTGTTACAGCTAATCGTAACAATACTTTAAATGATCCATTTACAGATAATGATGGTCTCTCTTCTTTGGTGGCACAAACGATCAGTGCAGACCTTCTTATCGTTCTTACAGATGTGGATGGTCTATATGATCTTCCTCCAAGTGATCCAAATGCTCAACTTATCACAACATATGTTCCTGATAATTCCGTTACATTTGGTGCTAAAAGCCCTACAGGACGTGGGGGAATGAATGCTAAAATTGCAGCAGCTTTATCAGCTGTACGTGGTGGTGTTCCTGCAGTTTGTATTTGTTCTGGTCATCGTATGGGAACTATTGCAGAGTTACTACAAGGAAAACCAAATATTGGTACACTCTTTGTTGAGGACCCAAAACATCTTCTTGAGATTGAGGCCACCTCAGCAGAAGGACGACGGGCAATGGAGAGAAGTGCACAAGAGGCACGTGAGGGTTCACGGAAACTAAACCTTCTCACCTATGAAGAGCGACGAAATTTATTATTGGCAGTGGCAAATGCATTAGACAATAACCGTGAGAGAATCCTTAATGCTAACAGTCAGGATATGTGTTTGGCAAAGCAAACAAATCTTGCTCCACCAATGCTAAAACGTTTAGAACTTACAAATTCTAAAATTGATACTCTTGTTGCAGGTATTATCTCTATTGCTGAAGCGGCAGATCCTATTGGACGTGTATTAAGTGCCCGTATGTTGGATGATAATCTTGTTTTATGTAAAGAGACAGCTTCTATTGGGGTTCTTCTTGTTATTTTTGAGTCACGTCCAGACAGTATGCCACAAATAGCAGCTTTAGCACTTTCTTCTGGTAATGGTCTTTTACTAAAAGGAGGACGTGAAGCTGAACACTCTAATGCTATACTACACAAAATTATTATTGAGGCAGTAACTGAAGCTACAAAGGGGAAAGTTCCTCCTGGAGTTATTGGTCTTATCAAGGGTCGAGCAGATGTGTATGAACTACTTAAGCTTGAGGGATTTATCGATCTTGTTATTCCTCGTGGTTCTAATGAAATGGTAAAAAATATTCAACGTGCAACTAATATCCCAGTACTTGGTCATGCGGACGGTATTTGTCACATTTACGTTCATGAAGATGCTGATATGTCTGTGGCAGAAAGTGTTATTATTGATGCAAAACTTAATTATCCTGCTGCATGTAATGCTGTAGAAACAACTCTCTTTCACCGTTCTACAGTAGAAAATGGAAGTGCAAAAGCTCTTTTGAATAAATTGGAAGCTGCTGGTATAAAACTATTTGGAGGTCCAAAAGCAATTAAGGAATCACTTGTTCGGGCTGGTGCTGCATCTATGCATTTTGAATATAGTGATGAACGTATGGCGGTGGAAATTGTGGAAGATATGAATGAAGCTGTTGAACATATTAACAAACACGGTTCTCACCATACAGAAAGTATTATTACTATTGATGGGGCTACCGCCAGTGAATTTATCAAGCGTGTAGATTCTGCCTGTGTGTTTCACAACTGCTCAACACGCTTTGCAGATGGCTATCGTTTTGGACTTGGTGCAGAAGTGGGTATTAGTACTGGTCGTATTCATGCCCGTGGTCCTGTGGGTGTGGAGGGGTTATTAACGCAGAAGTGGATACTGCGCCCTACGAGCCCCAATTTACACGCAACTGTTGGTCAGTTTCAGAGCGGTGAGCGTGCCTTTACACACGAGGATATCACAAACTCTATGATACATCGTCATAGGGACTAACAAAACCCAAGCAAAGAAAAAAGAAAAAGAAAAGAGAAGAAAAGAAGAAAAAAAAAAGGAAAAATAGGTGGTAGATTAAATAAAGGAATGAGTTATGGATACTCTTAATGTTGATGGTATATGGGGGGAGGGAATACTTCTAGCTAATGTTTTTTTTTTTTGTTTTTGCATTTACTGGGATACAGGGTGTAGACTGTATGATAATTTAGTGGCTTTATCTCTTTTTTCTTTCTTTTTGAGATTTTTGTATTATGTAATGAACGGTACACAACTTCGTGTGATATGTGTATTGGTTTTTGCTCGCGCAGTCGACTAGGCAATATCTATGTATAAAGGCATCTGTGTGTGGCTAAGCGTGTCTCTCTCTGTGTGTGTGTGTATATATGTCTGTGTGGACTTGTCTCTTGGGTAGGTGAGGAAAAAAAGAGAGTCATCTCCAGAGTTTGACCAGACGTTTGATTTCTTTTTTTTATTATTCTGTTTATTTCTGTTTAACAAAGGAAACGAAAATTAAGTGGGGGTTCTAAAACAGCAAAAAGAAGGAAGAAAATGAATGGGAGCTTAAAAATTGTTTTATTTCATCATTCCAAAAAAAAAAAAAAAGGTCTGGTGACTGTGTGCTTACGTGCGTATTCTTTTTTTTTTTTCCTGTTCCTTCACTGTTATTTTGTCAGGGTGATGAGTCTTGTTCTGCTGAGGAAGTGAGGGGGAAGAGCGAAATCTACATTTTATTTGTTTGTTTGTTTCCTCGTTTGTTTTTCTTCCCTCGGTTCATTCATTCATTCACTTGTTTTTTTTTTTGCCCAGAATACTACAGTTTTTATGGATAGATATGTCTGTGTCTGTGTGTGTGGGTGTGTGGGTGGGGTAGAGTTTCTGATTTCATGTAATGAACATTATTTCTCTATTCTCTTTAACTTTTTCTTTTTTTTTTCTCTCTCTTTAGATATTTCGGTATCATTTCCACAGTCAGTGCAGACAAGAGGCTGGGGTGGATATTTTGCTCCGATACCAAAGAAGGAATTTGCTTAAAAAAAAAAAAAAGAAAGTCGCAAATTCCATCTACATCCCGGATCTTGTTCTGTTTCTATTTCACGGAAAAGAAACTGAAACATACGCAATATATTATAACCAGTAGGAGAGGTAGTAGCAAAAGTTGCAACAGTGACGATTAGTTTTATTAACCATGAGTTTGTCTATTATGAGGAGGGAGACTACCTTTGATCCCAAGGCACCCCTTACTGGGAAAGAGACACAGCGTGATGCAGAACGAATGGAATTTCAAGCTCTCTCTTTAGAGTCTAATGGAAAACATATGGAGTGCCTTCAGCTTATGGAAAAGGCGTTGCAAATTCGTTGTCAGGTTTGTGCTTCCGGAGATGCAACACCTATGAGCATTGGTGAAGCCTGTGATGCAGCTGAGCGACTTGTGACAAAGAGCAACACATACGGTGTGAAATCTTTTAAAGAAGATGATTATGAAACGGCGTCAACACTATTTGGATACGCTCTAGAGATGACAGGGGAAGATTCTTTCCCATTGCGAGAAGTAGATGACCGACGTCGATATCTCCGTGGTGTTACACTAAACAATTATGGATGTATGGAACGACGTCGTGGTCATTTTCCAGATGCTCTTGCATATATGCAACGATCTATGGAGTGTACTGGGGAACAATCACCTGTGGCATTTCTTAACATGAGTGCTGTTCAAACACAACTACGACTTTGTGAAGATGCAGCGGAAAGTGCTATGCGAGCACTACAAAATCTTGGCGCTTCCCCAGAAGATCCATCACTACTTGCTGTAGCACACCACAACCTTGCCATGGCCTTAGAGCCATTAGATCCCACTCGAGCACTTGAAGAATACCAAGAAGCATTAAATTTGGCACGAAATTTCATTGGTAATGATAGTAATACAACAGTGATAATTGAGCGTAATATGACGCGTTTTATGCAGGGACGTCAACGAGGAAGATCTCTTCATGGTGGTGAATTAATTGCTCTCCGCAGTAGAACGGGATCCGCTTGTAGTGGAAGGGGTTCACTTCACCATGGTGAGACCAAACCCACTGATACCTTACTCCAATCCCAGGGCAAACCTCAACCACCATGCGAAGATGAAGATATATTTCCACATCCCTTCATGAACAGCGCCGCAGATACGGTAGTCCCCCGCAAGGTACTCGTAACACGCATCTATCATCCATCCATCTCCACACGCAAGTCATTACTCCCACCACCAAGACACAGCAAACCAGCGGCAACACACACAACGGGGGCACATATGTACACACAAATCCCTCGTGATCGTCATGAAGGACCCGCTGCTCACACAAAATCGCCCCGCGCTGCGGCCGCTTCACGACTGCCCCCAATGGAATCCCGCCCCCGCCAAGGGCCACCTCCCACAGTCCCCGCCCACGCAATACCATCACGAACGGCAAATAACCCACAGTCCATGTGGGGGTCACCGAAACCAACACGTGCAGGTGCAGCCGTACCACAAGGTGTAAGAGGGGCACCTGAAGGGAATTTGGCTCATATCCCACCACCATCCTCAAACCATGCTGCGACAACCAAAAGTCGTACCGCACGCTCTCCAACTCGTGAAGAACCATCTGGACGAAACTCTTTCTTTGCCACTGCACCCACTTCTGGATCCCCAAGAAAATTAGTCCCAGTTGGTGGGCCAAGTTTACCACAAAGTAAATCTAAATCTCCTGCCGCCATGGGTAGTACTAACAGAGGGTCCACAAGTTTAGTTAACACCGTTCCCAAGCAGTCGAAGCCAGTTCAGTCCGTAACGCGTCTTACTCAACCCTTGAAATCTTCGAGGACCAGTTTTGCATCAGCGGCAACGGCAGAAGCAGCTTCACTTGCTCCCACTGCGGTTTCTAGTAGTAATAAAAATGTGAAGCCAGTTCAGCCCCCAACACGTTCTAATGAACCCTTGAAGCCTTCGAGGACCAGTTTTGCATCAGCAGCAGCTTCACCAGCTCCTACTGCGGCTTCTAGTAGTAATAAAAATGTGAAGCCAGCTCAGCTCCCAACGCGTTCTACAGAGCAATTGAAGCCATACACAAGCAACGTTTCGACAGCAGCAGCTGCTCCTGCTCCCACTGCGGCTTCTAGTAGTAATAAAAATGAGAAGCCAGTTCAGCCCCCAACACGTTCTACTGAACCCTTGAAGCCTTCGAGGACCAGTTTTGCATCAGCAGCAGCTTCACCTGCTCTTACTGCGGCTTCTAGTAGTAATAAAAATGAGAAGCCAGTTCAGCCCCTAACGCGTTCTACAGGGTCAATAAAATCAACGTCGGAGAGGCCTAATACATCTTCTGGACGCTTAAGACCAGGGTCCAGTAAAGGGGGTGCAGCTGATCATTCGAAACCTCTTGTGACTACCATCCCTTCTCCTGGTGGTACACAGTACTCTGCCAATTCGAATGGCCAATTAATGGCTCCTTCTACTACATCTATGAAGCCAGCAAGTGTTTCAAATGATTCATCAAAGAGGGGCGCTCCAAATCGAAGCAGCAAGATGGAATCTCTTGAACAAGTTCCTCCAGCGGAAATCTCCGTTCCTACAGTGGCAAACCGAAGAGAATTAAAATTGCCTCGGGGAGCACAAGGGATGAATATTGTTTCATACATGGCTGATCGTTTGGATATGTTAATGGTGGATGAAGATGAACTAGATCGTAAGCAATTGAGTGCCTCAATAATTCAACGCACCTTCCGTTCATATTTGGCACGAAAACGTCTTATGGAGATGCGGGAAGGGAGGACCATTTATAATGTTTTAAGTGAAATTCGAGAGAAAATTGCAGTTCGTAAACTTCAGAGATGGTATCGGAAGTCTCGTCATAGTAGAGGGCGTTATGGTCATATGCCTAAGAGAAGCACTCAAGTTCTTGCTAGTGAGAGATATAAATCAGCTGCCCGTATCCAAGCTGCAGCAAGAGGTTGGATAGCACGACGTCGCTACGCACGACGAAAGTTCTTTGAAAAGAATTCTGGTCATGCTGCTCTTGTTGTTCAATGCTGGTGGCGTCAAATATTAGCAAAGAGAAAAATGGCATCTTTGAAGAAGTTTTATGAGGAGGCCAAAAATCTTGCTGCTGAGAAGGAACGTAGAGAGGTTGCTGCCACAATAATTCAAAGTCGCTGGAGGACACGAAAGGCAGAGCGATTAACACGAGCGGAACGAATGCGGGCGAAAGAACTTCGTCGAAAGAAGGCAGAGGCCCTTCGCTTATCGGCTGCTCGTACCATTCAGACATGGTGGCGTCTGCTCAGTGCACGCGCAGTACTTCGCCAATTAAGAGAAGCACAAGCGGCACGAGAGGCAAGGCTTAAGGAGCATCAACGAAAAGTGGATGCAGCGACAAAGTTACAATCATTTGGAAGAATGATTATTGCGAAGAACGAGACAGAGCCTTTGCTTACAGGATTTCGCGCAAATGTGGCACGACGCATTCGTGAGAGGTGCGCTGAGAATCAAGCAGCGTCTAAGATTCAACGCGCCTTCCGATGCTACTACGCTAAACGTCTGTTGAAGCGACTACGACGCCAACGTCGAGAAATGAAGCAACAGGCACGACAAAGTGCTCTTGTGGCTGTTGCACAACGTGTAGGACGTGGATTCCTCACTCGCCGGGATCTCGGTCAGATTTTGCAGAATTTGGAGAATGAGGCACGTGAATTTAGTCAACGAAAATTAGCTCTTGAAAGGGCAGATGACACAGCGAAACCCATACTAACAAGTGAGCAAGAAAAACCTGAACTGATCCAAGAGGATTGTAGGGGTACCACGGTGACGGAAGAGATGAGAACACCTCCTTCTATGGTACCTCGTCTCCCTGTAGACGACAAGCAGGACTCAACTGAGTTCCTAAACAAGGGAGAATTGGAGTCGCACAAGATTGAGGATGCAGTGGAACAAGATCATGCGGAAATATCACGTACATTAGAACAAGAAGTGGAGGATGAGAAACAACGTCTATCTGCACTTGAAGCGAATTTGTCAGCTGATGAGAAGATTGATGAACGAGAGAAACTACTTGAATTAAACAAAGAAAAGGAACGGTTGAACGTTTTGGATGAGAGTGAACGTATCAGTGCTCTCTCAACTGCAATCTCAACGTTGAAGCGAGAAGATGATGCGTCAAAGGGAGAAAGGATTGAGGATGCAGTGGACCAAGATCATGCGGAAATATCACGTACATTAGAACAAGAAGTGGAGGATGAGAAACAACGTCTATCTGCACTTGAAGCGAATTTGTCAGCTGATGAGAAGATGTATGAACGAGAGAGACTACTTGAATTAAACAAGGAAAAAGAGCGTTTGAACATTTTGTATGAGAGCGAACGTATCAGTGCTCTCTCAACTGCAATCTCAACGTTGGAGCAAGAAGAAGATGATCGTCAGTCATTGATAGATGATGCCTCAGATGAAGAAAAGATTGAGGATGCAATGGACCAAGAGCATTCGGAAACATCAAGTACCTCACGAGAAGAAGTAGCTGAAGAGGAACAACGATTGTCTGTCCTTGAAGAGGCTGTATCTTCTATTGAAGAGGTGGAAGAAGAGCAGAGATTGGACGCGCTAAGAGAAGTGCTCGATCACGAAGACCAGAAAGCATGTGAGGATCAACAGTCAGATAGAACCTTATACACTGAAAATCATGACTCTGAAGAAGAAGCTACTGGAGACGTCCCGACACAATTGGCTTCTACACTAACCCCCTCTGAGGGTAAATCGGACGAAAGTTTAGAGGCGTTATTGGAAGTTGAAAGAGAGAAACGACGGTCTCAGATGGAATTAGAGAAGCGACTGCGTAAGGCTCGTGATGCACTGGATGCAAAGGCAAACGAGTACCGTCTGCGGAAAATCGCCGCAGCAGAGAGTGCACAAGAGTTAAAAATGCTTATCCCACGCCCTCCTCTTGGTCGTGTACGCTTGCAGAAACAGCAAGATACGGAGTTGATAGAGTCACCAGAGTCCCCCACCGCGGCAAATATACGGGAACAACAACAACAACTTGTACTGAATAATACAAGGAAGAAAGAGAAAGCTGCTTTGGATATAACTCGCTTGGCACGTGGTTACCTTGATCGCAAGTACACCCGTGCTCTTAAGGTAGTAATTGCAGAGTATATTGATCATAGGGTAGATATGGATAGTGAAGAGCCCCCTTGTTTTGATAATGAATTCCTACAGAAGTTTACAGAGATGTATCAAAGTGGTGTAGAAAAGGCACGTGCTATTCGGCATATCACTCTTATTCAGACATTTATGCGTGCTGCAGAGAGTAGAATGATTGTCTCTGCTCGTGCACCATCTTCTTGGTCACATGGAAAAGATCCTTCAATTTTATCATCCCGCAGGAATGAGGCTGCTGAGACTTTGTGTGGTTTTGCACGTATTATTCAAGCCAAAAAGAGACGTATTCTTCTTCAGGAGATGGCAGCCATTCAATTACAAGAAACACGAGAGTTGGAAGCCTTTGATACATTAAGAGGCTTTTTGTATATGATACGTGCTAAGAAGGAACTTGCGGCTCGTGCTGCAGCAGTGGATAATCATTTGCTGCAGGAAGAAACTCTATATGCTCAAGATTGTGCAGCAAATCAAATTGCATGCTTTTTCCGTGCGGCTGCTGCTAAAAATGAAGTACGCCGCCGCCAAGAGGCAATTAAGGAAAAGTTGAACGTTGCTAACGCTGTAGAGACGATTGTTTCCTTCCTTCGACAGTGTTGCGCTAAACGAGAGATAAATAGACGACGTGCGTTAGTGGAACAGCAGCGTAAAGTAGACATTGAACTCGAGATGATTCTCGATCTTGCTGCCATGCGGGTGCAGCGTGCATACCGCTCCTACAAAGCACGTCAGCTTGCACGGGAGCAGCGGGCGGCGAAGAAGCAGCGGTGGGGTACCATACAAGCACAGGATGAGGAAATCACAGCCGCCATGGCCGCTATTGCCGCAGATGCTCCTAATGAAGCAGAGTTATGGGCAAAACTTGGCTTCTGTGCTGATGAGAATGAAAATGAAAATGATGGCGAAAATGAAAATGAGGAGGATTTGGAGGTGGAGGCGTTGTTGTATTGTGTGGTGCAGGTGCAGCGGGTGGTGCGGGGTTGGCTCGCACGGCGAAAAGTACAAAAACTGCGCTCAATGGTCCAACAGAAGCTCAAGGAAGAGGAAAAGGAAGAGAAACAAGAATAGCAGGAAGTGACAGAACTCGCAAACACTGATAATGATAACAGTACAAAGTTATAGAGATTTGTTTCTTCTTCTCTCTTACGTTTCTTCTTTGTATGTTGGTTTTTTACTGGACGACCAAGGCGTTTTTTTTTTTTTTCTTTATTGTTTTATGGAAATATGAACATTTTTCTGGGGGAACCAAATACCAATCGGTGAGCCAGAAGAAGAAAAAAAAAAAAAAAAAAAAAGA